GACTCCGATGGGCAGGACCCTGCTGCCCACCAGCCAGTCTTTGTCCTCCTTTCGTCGAGCAGAAGACTTCGATGGGCAGGACCTGGCTGCCCACCAGCCAGTCTTTGTCCTCCCTTCGTCGAGCAGAAGACTCCGATGGGCAGGACCTGGCTGCCCACCAGCCAGTCTTTGTCCTCCTTTCGCCGAGCAGAAGACTCCGATGGCCAGGACCTGGCTGCCCACCAGCCAGTCTTTGTCCTCCCTTCGTCGAGCAGAAGACTCCGATGGGCAGGACCCTGCTGCCCACCAGCCAGTCTTTGTCCTCCTTTCGTCGAGCAGAAGACTTCGATGGGCAGGACCTGGCTGCCCACCAGCCAGTCTTTGTCCTCCCTTCGTCGAACAGAAGACTCCGATGGGCAGGACCTGGCTGCCCACCAGCCAGTCTTTGTCCTCCCTTCGTCGAGCAGAAGACTCCGATGGGCAGGACCTGGCTGCCCACCAGCTAGTCTTTGTCCTCCCTTCGTCGAGCAGAAGACTCCGATGGGCAGGACCCTGCTGCCCACCAGCCAGTCTTTGTCCTCCTTTCGTCGAGCAGAAGACTTCGATGGGCAGGACCTGGCTGCCCACCAGCCAGTCTTTGTCCTCCCTTCGTCGAGCAGAAGACTCCGATGGGCAGGACCTGGCTGCCCACCAGCCAGTCTTTGTCCTCTCTTCGTCGAGCAGAAGACTCCGATGGGCAGGGCCTGGCTGCCCACCAGCCAGTCTTTGTCCTCCTTTCGCCGAGCAGAAGACTCCGATGGGCAGGACCTGGCTGCCCACCAGCCAGTCTTTGTCCTCCCTTCGTCGAGCAGAAGACTTCGATGGGCAGGACCTGGCTGCCCACCAGCCAGTCTTTGTCCTCCCTTCGTCGAGCAGAAGACTCCGATGGGCAGGACCTGGCTGCCCACCAGCCAGTCTTTGTCCTCCCTTCGTCGAGCAGAAGACTCCGATGGGCAGGACCCTGCTGCCCACCAGCCAGTCTTTGTCCTCCTTTCGTCGAGCAGAAGACTTCGATGGGCAGGACCTGGCTGCCCACCAGCCAGTCTTTGTCCTCCCTTCGTCGAGCAGAAGACTCCGATGGGCAGGACCTGGCTGCCCACCAGCCAGTCTTTGTCCTCCCTTCGTCGAGCAGAAGACTCCGATGGGCAGGACCTGGCTGCCCACCATCCAGTCTTTGTCCTCCTTTCGCCGAGCAGAAGACTCTGATGGGCAGGACCTGGCTGCCCACCATCCAGTCTTTGTCCTCCCTTCGTCGAGCAGAAGACTCCGATGGGCAGGACCCTGCTGCCCACCAGCCAGTCTTTGTCCTCCTTTCGTCGAGCAGAAGACTCCGATGGGCAGGACCTGGCTGCCCACCAGCCAGTCTTTGTCCTCCCTTCGTCGAGCAGAAGACTCCGATGGGCAGGACCTGGCTGCCCACCAGCCAGTCTTTGTCCTCCTTTCGCCGAGCAGAAGACTCTGATGGGCAGGACCTGGCTGCCCACCATCCAGTCTTTGTCCTCCCTTCGTCGAGCAGAAGACTCCGATGGGCAGGACCCTGCTGCCCACCAGCCAGTCTTTGTCCTCCTTTCGTCGAGCAGAAGACTCCGATGGGCAGGACCTGGCTGCCCACCAGCCAGTCTTTGTCCTCCCTTCGTCGAGTAGAAGACTCCGATGGGCAGGACCTGGCTGCCCATCAGCCAGTCTTTGTCCTCCCTTCGTCGAGCAGAAGACTCTGATGGGCAGGACCTGGCTGCCCACCAGCCAGTCTTTGTCCTCTCCTTTGTCGAACAGAAGACTCCGATGGGCAGGACCCTGGCTGCCCACCAGCCAGTCTTTGTCCTCCCTTCGTCGAGCAGAAGACTCCGATGGGCAGGACCCTGACTGCCCACCAGTCAGTCTTTGTCCTCTCTTTCGTCGGGCAGAAGACTCTGTCGGGCAGGACCCTGGCTTCCATCCAGCCTTGTCCTCCCTTCGAAAACCTACTACCTCGAAAACTTACACGGGACCATATAGCTCGACCATGGAACGTTGAAAAGCTAAAAAAAATACTACAGTTAAACAACACTGCCCGCGAGGGACAACCTGCGCGAACAAGAGGGTGGACTTATACGGCCACACCTCACCGACCATACCCTAGCGGGCACTATACCTCCTCGAACAAAAAGAGAATAGTCCGCTCGACGGCACCCCCTCGATCGAGAGTCGCCGCCGCAGTATCATAATCGGCCGAACGCCCAGCTCGCTATGGGATGTTCAAGCCTACAGGATAGATCACAACCGTGACCTAACTCTTGTCCGCCCAGGAAGCTACCCCGGGCATCCGGATAGTTCCCCACACTACCGGGCAACACGCACCGAGCAAAGGTCCCCCACAAAACGATAAACATTCACATCATAATGGAGCTCGGCAAAACGAGCCAACACTTAGCGAAAAAGCATAACAATCATGCACGCACACAAAACTTAGAAAGGAAAACAAGAATTCCATAAAAGGGGCACAATCCCAGAAGTCAAAACGTTATAATAAACGGGCACGACCCCGGATGTCGAGCAGAAACGATCGAAGGTGTCGAGCAAAATTTTTTTGGATTTCGAGCGACTGCAATTTCGCCATTCCCAGATGATCGATACGATCCACGCCATTCTCGCATCCTGCCTGACATATCAGCGCGCGCAACGCTATTCTCTACTTAAGTCATAGCTCTCCTGACAGCGAACTACGACTTGGGGGGCTCCTGTTCTGGACTGGGCCGAGGCTTAGCCCACAATCGAGAAGGCCCAAAATCCCACTGAGGTTGGGCCCAATTGGACCACACTGATGAGCAGGGACCCATGGGCAGAACCTCCTCCCGTCAGGCAGGTGCCCATCCCGTGGGCAGAACCTGTGCCCATCCTGTCGGGCAGAACCTATGCCCATCCCGTCAGGGCAGAACCTCCTCCCGTCAGGCAGGTGCCCATCCCGTGGGCAGAATCAGTGTCCATCCTGACGGGCAGAATCTGTGCCCATCCTGACGGGCAGAACCTGTGCCCATCCCGTGGGCAGAACCTGTGCCCATCCTGTCGGGCAGACAGGTGCCCATCCTGACGAGCAGAATCTGTGCCCATCCTGACAAGCAGAATAGGTGCCCATCCTGACGGGCAGAACCTGTGCCCATCCCTTCAGGGCAGAACCTCCTCCCGTCAGACAGGTGCCCATCCTGACGAGCAGAACCTGTGCCCATCCCGTCAGGGCAGAACCTCCTCCCGTCAGGCAGGTGCCCATCCCGTGGGCAGAATCTGTGCCCATCCTGACGGGCAGAATCTGTGCCCATCCTGACGGGCATAACTTGTGCCCATCCCGCCGGGCAGCACAACGTGCCTTCCACACGTTCTCCGCGTGCTCCCCTCCGCGGGGAGAATAACGTGCTCGACGCACGTTCTCCACGTGCTCCCCTCCGCGGGGACACGTCATCAACCAACTGTCCACCTCCGAAAGAGCAGGTCAAACCCACTTTCCGGAGATCTAGGAGCAGTTGGACTAGGGCGAAGACCACGTCCTGGTCTTCACTACGCCACGTAAGCCCTAGCAGTCATTAGGGTTGGGCCTGGTCATCCAGTCCAGCTCAAATGACCGTTGGCCCAGCGCTTGGGTCTCTCTATAAATACCCTCTTCCCCAAGAGGGCCAGGTAATTCACCTCTTCTAACTTTCTGTTCTTGCTCTCAGCCCAAATTCTGACTTTGGCATCGGAGTGCCTTGCAGGTACACCCCCTCCTCATCCTCAACACCGGTGAACAGGAAGAAGCCTAACGGAGCGTGGCCATCCCGTGATCCCCTCCTGATCATGTCAGATCAAAAATGATGTAAAAAATGAAAAATGCATTCTTTTTATGAAAACTTGCTAAAAAATGATTGCTTCTAAATGTTAAATGTTCAATAACCAATTAATCATAAAATGCTTTCATATATTTTTGAAAGCAATAGCATTAAAACAAGTTCAATTATCTTCGACGTATGGTTTGTGCGCCCAAAAGGGAGTGCCAAAATTGACATGATATACTGCACTAGACAAATGAAAAAAAAAAGTATGAATGAAAGTAAATCAAATAAAACCAAGAACTATTTCTCAACCCAAGACCAAATGTAGGTTTTGATAGAAAAGAAAGCACCACTCTTAAATAAATTTAAAAGATAATAGCCACCGCCGTAGGCCAAATGAATTGCTATAGAGGTAATGGAAACATGAATGCACTAGATACAATGCAATGTAATGAGACTTTGATCAGATGATTCTGAATTACGAACTAAATCTAAAACTAAAAATGCAAAAAATGCAGATGCAAAATAATTTGAAATAGATAAATGGTATGACAAAATTGAAATATGACACTATACTACTGCAACCTTTCCAAATTATCAAACTCCTACTCTTTAGGAAAATCCCCAGAGATAATTTGGCGATAGTTGGAGTGTTCTTAGATTTTGAAGCTTTCTAATCTATGAAGTATGGAACCATTTAGTAAATTCTCAAATGATGTCTTTCACACTTGCCACATCAAGTACTTTATTTGACAATGTTTAACCTTAACAATTCATGTGTTCTTCACAAATGTCATAATCCTTTTCAGGGACTTTTTGCCGCCATCAGCAAAGCATACAATTTGCCAAACAGCATGGAACTGTGGCAAAAACATACGATCCTCAAAATCAACTAAATATATAAACAACAACAAAAGATCCTCAAAATCATCTAAATATATAAACAACAAAAGATCCTCAAAATCGTTATATTACCTCAATGAAAATGGTGTTTGAATAATCCTTAAACATAAAAAAGCATTTCACAATTATGTATCTTAAACTTGAATTATTTTATATGATACTGTACATACTCCCCCAAAAAGAATCGCCTACTTGGGTAATAAATTTTATTTTACAACAAGTCTTCCAATATATTTAGTGCACCAATAAGTTCACCAAATTCCAACAATATTACAATATAAGAAATATAACAGCTTATACTCAATTCACCATTAGATGATCAAAACCTCCTCCGCCTTGCAGTGCGGGAACCCGATTCCCTCCAACATTGTGCAGCAATTGTTGCAGCCACTTCCTAGTTGTAGGGTCCTCCTGAATACATAAAACCAAAACCAAAACCAAGTAGTGTAACCAAATTAAAAGCTTGAAAAATCTTCCATGTGATGATAAATGGAAAATCTCTAACACTAACATAAAAGATTTGAATAACAAAATGAACTAATCGCAACAAGGACTTACACGAAGGCAGCTGCTGAAAGTAGCGTCTCTTAACATGTCTGGAAGACAGCTTCTTAGTGCATCACAGGCCCTGTTTGAACAAGACCAAGAATGACATTTGAAACTTGGAAGGAAAGGAAAGGGCGTGGATGAAGAACCTAGTATGAAGTTGCAATCCTACTTACAAACCTTGCGTTATCTGACAGGCGAAGATAGCATCGAATAATATGCTTCAACAGACGAGATGATGGTTGCTCAGCAAGAGCTGCCACCATGTTTCCAAGAACTCGACCTACTGCAAAAAAACGCTCAGCAGTAGTACAGATATAGTCCAAACCCACGTCATCCAACAGAATCTTTTGAACAATAAATGTTGCAACCTGTTGAAGCAGAGCCTTCATTAGACTATCATGCTCAATTTTATTAGTATCTCATATACAGTAGGGAAACCAGATAGAGCAGAAACATAAATAAATAGGTGGCATAAAATCTATACAACAAAAGATCTAGAGTTTATCCTAATGACCAAGAAGTGTATTCAATAGTTTATCCTAGTGACCAAGGTCTGAATGCATAAGCAGATTCATTATATGCATGTCCAATACAAAATAAATAAATAAACATAACCTCACATGCAAACATACATGTGAATCAAACATAGACAGGACATACATGTGAATCAAACATAGACAGGACATACATGTGAATCAAACATAGAGAGGAAATTTTTGGCTAAAAAATTATGAAGGAAATTATAAACAAATCTGATTCGCCAGAAAACACTGTGTTGGCATAAATTTACCCAAGACTGAATCAAGAATCAGTAAACTCAACTGTTTTGGAGAGCTCACTCCCCATTTCCATCGTGCGCAGGCACAGAGGAATTATTTCAGTAGAAAGCAGAAAGCTAATAACCTCGGTATCATCAACCTGAAAAATATCAGCATCGGTAATATTCTGACGACCAAAATTAGTAATAATATTAATAATAATAATAATAATAATAATAATAATAATAATAATTATTATTATTATTATTATTATTATTATTATTATTATTATTATTATTATTATTATTATTATTATTATTATAAAAGTGGCCTCGGGTGTTTTATAAGACCAGCAATTTTATACGAGACATAATGTTGAGTGGTAAAAAACCAACACAAAAATATACTAAGTGTTGCAAAGATGAGGATGTTGTGTTGTATGTGTGGTAAGATTAGACAAGATTAAAAATGACAACATTAGAGAGAGTGTTGGGGTAGCATCTATAGTAGAAAAATTGTGGATAATAGACTTAGGTGGTTTAGATATGTAGAGAGAAGACATGTAGATTTTGTAGTGAGTCAAATAACTAGAGGTACGGAAAGACCTAAAAATAATATAAGAGAACTATTAAGAAAGATCTTAAGATTAACGAGTTGTATAAAAACATATATTTTATAGAATATTATGGTGTAGTTTGGTCCATGTAGCCCACCCCACTTAGTGGGATAAGGATTCTTTGTTGTTGTAGTGGAATATAAATAGTTGGAGTCTTTTAATTTGTTCCCCTGCCATAGTTTTTAACTCTTCAAACAAGTTGGACTTTCATTCCATTGTAAAAATCTGAGTCAAGGAATTTGTGATAAATCTTTGTGACAATTATTTTTCTAGTGGTTTAAAAAAATTGAAGTAAAAAAGTTGTACAAAATGTAGTTCATCACGTAGTTATTTGCATCCAACATCAGAATGAGTAAGGAAGAAGTACCTTCACTAACGCACCGATGACACCAAGACTAGTAAGCCTCAAGTACTCAAAAGGTCTTGACTTACTTGTGGTATTCAGGAAGGGATACAGATACAATGGAATATGAGCTGAAGAAAAGAAAAAGCAAGCGAAAAAATTCATTATAAGAATACAACACACACTAATGAACTATCTTTAACTAATAAAAACAATGGATCATGCGGAGTCAAAGCATTCTCCTTATATTCAATATAAAACGGAAAAGTATCATACCATCCAATTTTCAAATGCTTCTAGTTTTGCTGGTTTAAAATTGTATAGACATCGGAGGTAAAAAAAAATATTCAAAAACAACAAAGAAAAGATGAGTATGTCTGAAAAAAGAGAATCAGATGTGGTAACCTTTAAATAATAGGAGACAGTTTGAGCAAAATGGTAAGTACTAAGGTTATAAAGGCAATAGCAAGGGCATGTGAGTTGCATTTAATGTTTATTACCACACTCATTTTTACTCAAAGAAGCTACTTGTTAGATGTATGACCTCAGGCAGAGCATCCCATCAAATCCTTCATCCATATGCAGTCTATGATTAAGTACATCAACTTGGTGCATATCATGTCCATAGCACTCTGTCCACTTAATTGTATTACTTAGATGGAAATGGCATTAACCAAATCTAGAGAAGCCAACACCATTTCCAAAGCATTTCAGCAAAATTTAAAAAAAAAATGCCAATTTTTAGTTTTTAAGGTCGTCTTGGTCCAACCACTACCAGAATATTTGATGCATATAGATGATCAAAAAATTCAGAAATTCAAACTCCATTGGATGAATGAGGAAAGTAAGATTACCGTTGAGGAATAGCATTCTTGTATCCGGGTGAGACGCAACGCACTGGAAGAAAATAAGAGGAAAAGAGAAAGAAAAGAAAACCTTAGTGGTGTTATTTTTTTTCACTTTCTTGATGTGTCTCAAATAAAGATAAGATAACGAAACAAAAAGATGTACAAAAAGTATAATATTTATGGCTGGTACATTTCCTAATCAATTGAGTATCTGAACTTAAGATTTAAGTAACTGAAATAACACTGCACATTAGTGTCTTCTTTTCTTTCTCCTATCTTGAGAAGCAAACAGATGGAATGTTCAGATACAAATAACCTACTGTGCACAATATATCCTGTCATATTACATAACACACGCATACACCATTCTATCAAGTTTTAGGCTTTTCATGAATTATGTATTCTTGAAATTTTGCAAACAAGCAACAACTTTGGTGTGTATGCTTTCTATGTGCAATGCTTCCTTGACATTCAACTAAAATGTATTTACTAAAGGCATGATATAAAAGTCCAAATTTCATAGTTTGGTGACTTAAGATAGGAGTAATCATATAATCAAGTTATTCACAAACATATACAATGAGTGAGGTAGACAAACTTTTCTAACCTGAAGAAGAGCAAGTGCATTGCATACTCGATTTGATTGTGCGGGAGTGAGATTGGGCGGTGATAGCACTGGGTATATTGACACTATTTCCTGGAAAAAAACATCAAATCCTAGTAAGTGGAAGACATCTGAGTTTGGAAAATTAAACCGAGAAAATCCAATGCTTCAAAAATGAAATTAGATATACGTTTTTTCAAGGATATTAATGTAAAGAAGATGAAAAATACAAGGAGTGGGGAGAATCTGATAGGCCATAGGCCATATACAGAGCAGGCTGAGGTAACAATATAACACTAAAATAAATGTGGAGAAACTGAGTGCAGTTTGCAGAGAGTGCAGAAACTATAACATTTTAAAATTAACTCGTTTTAAGAAGCATTACGGGATCAGGTATGATGGCCAATTTTTAGATGTAGAGTTTTAAAATGGTTGAAGTTGAATCACAACATCACTCAAAGCAACAGGGCAAGGTTTCGCTTAGCAGCTAGGGGCTCTATTGACGACAGATTCATACGAAAGGTTATAGCAAAATAAGCCTAACACTAGAGACATGGAATATATAGTACAAGTAACATAGAGCACACCTGCAAAAGTGCTGCAATAGTACCAAATGAATTCCATAGCAAGGGAGCAAGATCTTGAAATTGCTCTCTCTTCTGCAATACATAAAACAAAAATGAGAAACCCTTGAGTGCAGTAGCAATGCCAAACAGACAGAAAAACAAGTCAAATCATCATGATATAATTCAATAGGTGTCTTTTATCACAAATTTTAAAAATATTAAATAGTGAATCAGCATCAATCCATTAATAAACGATGATTACATCTCGCAGATAACCCCAAATTCAACAAAAGGAAAAAATAATGCACAAACCAAAGCCATTGAAACAGATTATCATTCAAACAGGAAAACTCGTGCATAATTGGTCATACTTTACTCAAAAACAAAATTATAACAATAATGGGAAACAGAGCTTCAAAAAACACTCAAAACAGAAAAACATATTGGTCCGGCACAGGAGCAAACCTCATAACAAGAAAAACGTAAACATAAAATAAATGACATATCTTCACACTTAACAAACATTTGAAATCTAGAGCAAAGTTTCGATAAATATCTGCAACAATAAATTAAATACGAACAACCTAACGGCGTATTAACAAAAAAAAAATTTAAAACAATCCCATAAATGCAGTGAGATGGTACGTAAAAAGTTGTGGGAACATTTAATGTGTTAAAAAGTGGGTTTGAACCCAAAACCCCTCTTCACACTATTGTGTCCGTGAGTCTTGCCGCTATCCCTCTTTGAAACCAAAAAAAGATGAAAACAAATGGAGTTTCAATTTTGTTTTGAATCCATATCATCTGAACTCTAATCTGGGATTCTAAATAAAAAGAAAAACAGTAACCTTGCAGAGCTCAAGAAGTGAATTTTCAAGGTGGTTTGGGTTGCGAAGTTTAAGGACGAGTTGTTCGGCAGCAGAGAGCATTGTTCCATTTCCTACAGTGGTCGAACCCTGGGAACAGTACCCTGAATAGGGGTAACACTGCAACCAGAGGCATCATTCATAGCCAGGGACCAGAAAAGCCCGGCATGTCACTTTTGTGGATGGTTGATATCTTCTGTTTTAGTTTCTTACGTTACCTGCTCGCTTTATCTCATCCTTGAAAACACAACACGGCACTTTAACATAACGTCACTATACTATCATGCTTTGATGCTGGTGGTCCACGTGTCTTACATGGAAGAAAAAAAAGTATCGAATAACAGTTTTCGCAACAACTGTTATTTATTTTCCATTTCCATCTATTCTTCTTTCAAGATGTAGGTTTTCCGACTTTGGCCATCCAGATCCAGCTCAAGATCACAAAAAGTACGAACAAGGGTCAAAATAGAAGATTTGGTAAATGTGCATGGAACTCCATGCATTATAACAACCACGCGTACTCACTAACTTTTTATAAGTTATACGTCAATTGGGAATGTTTGACATAGTTAGTGAAGTACAGTGGCTGATTTTGAATGTGATGAGTAACTTGTCCATAGTTTCCAAAGGTAACCTAAGCCTCGCCTTGTATTTTTAAAACAGACACCTTTCTAGAAACATGTAGTTTTTAACACACTTAGAAAATCTGTAGTTTTTGGCACACACCTTGTATTTTTAAAACACATGCCTTTCTAGAAACATAACACCCTTTGAAAATCTATAGTTTTTAACACGCGCTCAGCCTCGAGACTAAACAACAAAAAATATGAATCTAATCAAGTTTAACTAAACAACAAAAAAAAGCCAGTTCAGAATAATCTCTAGTATCTCTTTTGAGATATCAAGATTGCCAAATCTGAATTCAGAATAAATTAGGTTTAACTAAACCACAGACATACATCTAATTAATTTTTACTTCTGAGAGTAATTATTAAAAAGAAAAACAGACCACAGAATCAGAACTAACAATGATTACATCTCCCATGCAATCCTAACTTCAACCAAGGAGCAATCAATGATCCACAAGTCAAAATCTCACTCCCACCAAATTGATCTCATTATAAATTTATTGTGAAATCTAAATCAATAATCATTAACTAAAAAATGAAAACAGCACGGTCCTCCCCGGATCGAGGGATTAGTCACTACCAGAACAAAGTATCAACACACAACCACGCAAATAAACAGTGTAACAATATCATATCACACCAATCAATATATGAAAACCAAAACAGTTCCAATCCATAATAAATAAAAACCCTAATCACATATTGAAACCAGAAATGAACAACGAAAATGAAATGAAAGGGAAAAAGGCTTTGATGATGTTACCTTAGAGAGTTCGAGAAGAGCATTTTCACGAAGCTCTGGGTTGCTGAGTTCGAGAACAAGTTGTTCGGAAGAAGCCATGCTACGATCCCTGTTACCGGCGGAAGATTGAGAGTTAGCAACGGAAGAATGAGAAATAGCAGTAGGACCACCGAATGCAGAGTTCATAGACAGATAATGGGGCAAACTCGACATCTGGCGAATGAATTTCACGTTTCGCACTATTCTTATACAGTATTATTTACTATTTATATTTTTTTTATCATATATATATATATATATATATATATATATATATATATATATATATATATATATATATATATATATATATATATATATATATATATATATATATATATATATATATATATATATATATATATATATATATATATATATATATATATATATATATATATATATATATATATATATATATATATATATATATATATATATATATATATATATATATATATATATATATAAGTTAAATATTTTTACTTTTCAAACAATAATTATTACTTTATTTATAATATCTTTATCTATTTATTATTTAATTTGATTTTATTCTTTTTTACAATAATTTATTAGGAAAAAATTTGACAAAATTAAAATTTATACTATTTTAATTTTGGAAAAGACAATTAATATATATATATATATATATATATATATATATATATATATATATATATATATATATATATATATATATATATATATATATATATATATATATATATATATATATATATATATATATATATATATATATATATATATATATATATATATATATATATAAAGAAATAGAGGGAGTATTATATTATATATAGTATTTTTAGTAAAAGAAAAATATATTGTTATATTTGAGTCAGATATTCGTTTATTTGCATCCGCCGAAAATAACAATTATTTATGTGTGTAGATTTCATTCTTAAAATAAAATTTATTTATTAAAATAATTTTATTAATTGATTTTATTAGAGTAATTAAATGAATTGTGTACTTGTTCATAGTAACTCATAGTTATATAGAGTTGTCTAAGAGTTTTTGGATTATTGTAGCATTAGACCAAGTTCTCAGTTAAGATAGTGAGTAGGGATGCTCATGGATGGTTAATTTCCATAACCAATCTGTAACCATGAATAATCCATTTGTTATAACTGGTTATTAAAATCAATTTTTATAACCGATTTTTATCTTTTAAAATGGTTATAAACCGGTTATTAATCGGTTATATCCATAACCAATTTTATAATTAATTTTGATTAAATTTTATTTTAAAATTGATTTTTTCAAAAACATAGTATCCATTGCATCATTGGCCCTTGTGCGTTTTTGCTCGTTCTGTGACTAATGCTTTAAACTTTGTTTAAATTTATAAAAAGAATGTTAGTTTTTAATTATTTATAGTTAGTTAATAAATTTATATTAACTTTTATATTTTGTAATTTTTCATTGATTGAAATGAAATATATATTTTTTTATTTTTTTATCATATATAATTTTTGTTTAAAAAACATATAAGTCATTTTATAATTTCACTTTTTTTTATCTATTATAATTAATTTTATTTTCACATGTATCAAATTAAATAATTAAAGTGAGTGATATAACTCAATTGTTTTGAGTTAAATGAGTGTGGATGATTGATTTAGATTTTGATCTTTAGTGATAATATTTTATATTTATTTATGTATTAATATGAGTAATTGTTGGTATTTATAAACTAATAATGATTTTTTTAAATCTACTTGATAACTTACTTATATTTTAATATTTTTTTCTTTTTCTATTTATTTTCACTCTCCTATATTTTTTTCATCAATCAAACAAAATGTAAAAAAAAAACCTTTTTTTCAATAACTAAAGTTGTGTTAATAATTTTTAAAAATTAAATAAAATCTTATAATTATTTTTTTCAAAAACATAATATTTTTTTTAAAAAAATATTGATGTTAAAAAAAAACAATAGTTGTTTTAAAATTTTTTTAAAAAATCATTTTTTAAAACTTTTTTGACAATAATTTATTTACTAAAAAAAATTAAAACAATAATTTTTTTTCAAAATAAAAATATTTTTCTTTTGAATAAAATTTTCAAAGTTTTTTTTTATTAAAAAATTTGACTAATTTGGTTTTTATTTTGGATATGGATGTCCAAAATATGGATTTGGTTAAAACCATTTTAAAAATATATCCAAAATGTGGATTTGGTTAAAACCATACTAATAATTAACCGGTTTTTAATAACCGGATTTGGATGTTGATGTGGATTATTTAAATAACCGGTTTATTTGAACGCCCCTAATAGTGAGTAGCTCTATATATAGGTGATTGATAGAAAAATTGAATGGTTTTCTTCAACTCAACGATTGAGGTATCTATAGGAATCCCTTAGGTTTAGATTTTGGAACCTAAAAGGGTGGTTATTATCTCCTACTCTCAAGAGTATGGGAATTAGAGTTGTTATTTCTCATACGATTCTAGAGAATGTGGCTTCCTTTTTTTATTGTCTTTCATGTCGGTGTGAGATAAAGACATGGCATTTCCAAGTTCTCATAAGTGAGTGAGTGTATCGGGTTGGGTGCATTGTGATAAATAGACACACATTACGATAAACTGGCGGTTAATAGCCCTGCTTTAAGCGTGAATACTATTTGTCCGCCCATAGTGCATATTGAATTGCCTCTTGTATATCCTTCGCAAATATGCTATTACACATTCCCTCAAGCACGAGCTCTTGTAAAGTGCAAAGTGATTTAGTCTTAAGCTCCTCTCAGAAACTCTAAGTTTAGTCCCTCATGCGAGACATTTAAGTTGATTCCCTCAAACGAGACTTTTAAGTAGATTTCCTCATACAAGACTTTTAATTCGAGTCCCTCAAGCAAAACTTTTAAGTTTAGTCCCTCGGGCGAGACTTTTAAGTTTAATCCCTCAGGCGAGACTCTTAAGTTTAGTCCTTCAGAAGAGAATTTTAAGTTTGGTCCCTCATGCGAGACTTTTAAGTTCAGTCTCTCAAAAGGGACTCTTAAGTTGAGTCCCTCAGGCAAGACTTTTAAGTTGAGTCCTTCAAATAATACTTTTAAGTTAAGTCCTTCAAATGAGACGTTTAATTTGAATCCTTCAGACAAGACTTTTAAATTGAGCCTCTCAAGCCAGACTTTTAAGTCGTGTAATACCTCATATTTTATAAAATGCTCTAAATAATATTAGTTGAGATCAACTGGGTTGTGGTGTATTCTGAGAGTTATTTATCGAGATAATTAGAGAAACCGATGAGCTCATATTTGATTTAATTAATATTATCTAACTTTGAGATTTTATTAATTGGTAAATTAGAGACATTTTTTATACCCTTAACATTGGACAAGTACCAAGTTAGTCTTACTAACTTTTATTGAGATATTTCTAAATATCATTTTCTTTTATTTTCCTTATATTTCTAACTTGTGGGATAAGTAGTAGAAAAGAAGGAAATGAAATAGAAAGAAGAATAAAGAGAAAGATAGAAGCGAAAGAAGGGAGAAAGAAGAGAAAAGTGAAAAAGAGGAAGAAAACCCAAAGAAAAAGAAGAAGAAGCCCATCCATCACTCTCCATCATCTCATACTCATCATCAACAACTTCTTCATCATTATCTAGAGGTGGGTTTTAGTTAGGTTAGAAATTTCTAGATAGAAATGTGTGAGTTTGGATTTGGTAATATTTCTTCATTTCCATGAAAATACCATAATTCTTGTTATGTTTGTGATATTGCGACTTGAAATGTTATTCTTATGCTTTAATATGTTGGTACCATGTTGGATTGAGTTTGGGAAGGAGTGGGGTGAAGAAGCCCCTTAGAACTGCCTTATTTTATGTAGAGGAGTTCTAGAAATAGCAGAGCTCGCACAACAAGCCGAAGGCAAAAATGACAGACTGTCATGCTCGCACTACGAGTTGAAGGCGAGGCAAAGGCGAACGTTCTCCCAAGGCTCGCACAGTGATCACTGAGCCTTTTTACTACTGCCTCTAAATTTTCCTGTCTCTCCCAGAGTTCGCACAACGAACTCAAAGCGAAGGGACCTCGTCTGGCTTTTGCACTACGAACCTGGCAGTATTTTCATACTTTGTTTTGATGCTTGCTTGGTTGTTTAACATGCACGTTTATTGTTATTATATCTTGTTTACATCGATTATTATGAGTAATATGCATATGGATTTATGGACGGTGGATTGATTAAAATGATGATTATGTGATTAAAAAGGATTAAGAAAAAATGAGGAAAACTTATTACAATTCAATGGAATGACTTAGTGATGTAACTAGGAAATGATATATGACTTAGATGACAATGCTTATGCATTTGATGCCTAGGTGTGCATCCTGGACAAGTAGCTGTCTAGCGGTGAGGTGAAACATTATATGAAACATGTGTTGATCTTTGTGTTTCTTTGTGAATAAGGCATATGTGGCCTTGAGATTGTTAAATACAATCATGTTTATATATGTGATCATGTAGTCGGAAGCAATCCCTTGAGATGTGTCGTTCCAAGAGTTGAGTCTTATATAGAGAGCTCCTCCGAAATGTATGTGATATTCATTAATAAGTGTTTATGACCTGTGTCGAGAACTCTTGTGTAGGTTTGGTCGGAGAAAGTTACTTATTAGATAAGTATCTGTGACCTGTGTCAAGAAATCTTGTGTAGGGTTGGCCGAGGAAAGTTACCTATGAGCTAGATATCTGTGACCCGTGTCAAGAACTTTTGTGTAGGGTTGGCCGAGGAAAGTTACCTATGAGGTAGATATATGTGACCCGTGTTAAGAACTGTTGTATGGGTTGGCCGGGGAAAGATATCTATAATACAAGGATTTGTGACCCGTGTCAATAACTATAGGCATAGGGTTGGCCGGGGAAAGATACCTTGATGTGGTTTCCGACTAGTGATGGTTTGAGTAGTTGAACTCAAGTAACATGTTTCCATATAGGGTAAGATTGTGAACTCAAGTCTTGTCTCTTCCCTTTTGACTTGATTTAGGATTGGTTAGAACCTTGTAAAGCTGAGAGAATCCCTAAGATAGGGAATCCATTGAGATTATTATCTCGTTCCAGTTTTGTGAAGGATAAAGCAACTTGATATCGTTACTTGTCTTGGCTATTTTGGGATGGCATTGTTTCCATTATGAAGACTTTATTTTGATATCA